TGAAAATATTCTAATGATTTGCTAGAAAAGTCACTAACAAAATATTGTATATAATAACACTAATAGAAATTCTGAAAATTTTGGGGAATAAAAGTAGTAATTGGGTAGCAAATATTACAAGAGTTATCTGTTTGACTCAAAGAAGATCCTGCTAAATGTTCTCTTTGATGTATAAATATTTTTAATGCATGTCCTTAAAAATTAAATTTCATATAATAAATAAAAGATTATTATATATTTGTATGTTTTCTAAAAGTCAGAAACTTGAGTTTGTTTTAATTAAATAAAATAGTAGTCAGCTAGTTCAAAGGTTTTTAAAGAGGAAACAAAAGTTCTGTCTTTCTGTTTAGTAGAATCAACTAATTTTTCTAATTCTTTTTCAAAAACTTCTTATAAGAGAAAGCTTTCTAAGCAAGAGTATTTTTAATATATTCAGGTGTTTGTGCAGTTGTAATACCTCTTTTAGGCATCAAATATTAGTCCAATTTTGGTTTTGTAGTTTTAATATATAATTTTTGATTTGGTTTCGTAATGTAAATCACATGACCAATAGTCTTTGCAGATCATTTTTCTTAAGAAGAAAAACACCATCAGTATGATTGTGGATTCTGGTGAGGTTTTTATCTTAAGATAAGCTTAGTAGAAAAGATGTGAAATCCTTTAAAGAGTATATCTTTAAAATTTCAACTCAAATGAAGCAAAATAATTAACTTTACTTAGTTTCAAATGTTCTATGAAGCTAAAGCTTTCTTTCTTGTTTTCTAATTTAGTATAAAATAGAATAAGTGATCTCATAGTTACTACTAATTTGTTATTCTATATATACTTCTTTTAAGATAGTAGGGTAACTAGAGTGATTTTAGACAGTGAACACTTTTTGTAATCTCACTTGTTATTATGTTATTACTAAGGTAGAAGACTTTTTTTTTAAAAAAACTTAATAAAGAAGATTTAAGGCAATTTGCAATTATGAAAGAGACTACAATTAAAAGTATATAAGGATACTAATAACTGTTTAGTTTGGGTAGTATAAAGTAGTAGTTTATTAGTAAAAGAGTATAAAGACTTGATGTTGAATTTAAGCTTCACATTAACTGCTTTTATACTTTTTGGCTACATAATATATGTAATGATCTATATTTTTTATATGTACAAGATATTTTACAATTATTATTAATAAAATAAATAAGATATATTTGATATATTAAATAAATAAAATAAATAAACTAAATAATATATATAAACTAAATATAATATAAAATATATATGCTCCAAAATATAGAAATGTTATATATGTTATATATATAATATTTCATACAGTAATTTTTCAACCAATCAAATTGTAATTATTTATTAATTTGGTTATTGGATTCAATTTTGTGATCCTGTATCAGAAATGAATGATCTATACCTCATTAGAATCATCTCAATAATCTAATTTGAATGGTAGTAGTTTCATCAAATTCTGTCCAATAGTTCAAGAGTTATGATTATTTTTGTAGATTAATAACATATAACCAAGATAACTTAAAAAATCCAGAATTATAGTTCTTTTGATAACTCTGTTAAAGTTCATATAATATACTTATGAAATTTTTAAAGTAAGTAAATTTGCATTATTATTTTTTAAAATTTAAATATATATACAATTCTGTTATTTTTAGGTTGTGATAAATAATACCTATTTTTTAAAATAAGAGATTTCTTAAATAGAGTTAGTAAGTTACTGAATATAGACTGATCATAATCTAAATTATATGATATATATATTTTTATATTATTATTAAATTCAAAATAATTAAATATTCTGTTGATTTTATAAGAATCTTGCTTTTATTATAAATTGTCATCTGCATGGAGGATGTTTGATTAAAAGCATTAAATCCAGGACCTGTAATAAAAATATAAAGCATAATTACAGAGGTTTCTTTTTTAACCACATTATAATTTGGTAAAAATGATCCTAAGTAAGAACAAGTAACATTTGAAGGACTATAATATATAATTTTACTAATATAGTCATTATAATTATTTACTAAAATAATTTGTATTAGATAAAGTATATATATAGTATGAAAGAAATTATAGATATTTTTACTTGAATTTAATAAAAAAACACAATAAATAGTAAAATTATATTAAAATTTAAAATAAATGTCTATATTTATTTAAATTGATTTAATGTTATATATTTTCTGATTTAAAGTTATTTCTATAATTTTTAACTTAAAAAATTCTACTTAGTAAGGGTCATATATGAGGTAAGGGTATATTAAAACTATCAAATGTACTGTATTTTATACTAATACTAGACAGTCTGTAAATAAATCAATATATAATAAAATGAAAATTGCAAATACTAATATTATAAATATTATGATAACAAAACATTGACATTTTATAACCAACTTTAGATTAGTTACATGTTTTCGAAATAAATTATTTAGTATTTTATTTATTGCTAAGATTTTATTTAATTACAGAATTGAACAAATAAATTCTAGCCTATTTATTTCTATTTAAATATTGATTATTTTCATGAAGTTTATTGTAAACCATCTATTAGTGAAATGTAATAATTATCTTTAAAAAGATTCATATTTCCTTTTTTAATAATATTTTTGTCTTCAATGTGTAATAATATTAGGCAATTTGGCACTTTATTAGTATATTATATAACTATTTTTTATTTAGAACCAATGAGTTATTTATCTAAATTTAACTTGTTTTTACTATTTTTGGATAATTAAAGCTGAGTATGTTTTATTTATAAACTGATTAATAATTCAACTTAAAAACTAACCAGTTATTTCAGTTAAATCAATTTGTTAGTTTATATTGTATTATTACGAATTGATACAGAAAACTGTTAAAAACTTATTAATGGTTATGTTATTTAACTTACTATTGTATGTTATATCATTCTAAATTAGAATAATAAAGTGTTAAAAGTTTATTAAAGGTCATATTGTTATATACATTATTCATTAATGAATTGTAGCATAATACACTAATAGAGTGTTATTATAATTATCTGATTAAAACTATTAACTATATAATTTTCAGATTATGCTTTTATGTTACACATATTCAACTTTTAATTACAATTTATATTTATTAGTCATATTAATAGAAAAATTATTATATTTACAGCCAAATAAATCTTCAAACAATTATTACTCTTTCTTCATAATAGTATTAAAAAAGTTTAGTTTTATTAGCTAAAATTAGAACAAATATAATTGACTTTTTTTTTTTACACAATATAACAGACAAAATTGAAATCTTAAGATTTCCTTACCAATGTACTATAATGCCTTGGGCTTATTAAATTAAATGATAAACCCCAAGTCTGAATTAATAATGGTGCTGTGAAACCTTTTAAAATAATATATAGTGATATTAATCTTAATCTATATCTTTTTTTCAAATTAGTTTAATACCTATTAAACTAATATTATCTTATGAGAAAATGTTGTGAATAAAAAAAGATCATTAGGTCATGGTTTCAAAATTGAATATGTCATATAACTACTTGGAGTTAATATCAGGTTAAAAAAGGCATGTTAGATTTGGTGAATGGTTAATGAGATCCTAATTAAGTTTACTTAATGAAAAAAGTTTTGAATTGGTTATTAGATAAATATACTAATGTAAGTTAGTTGTTACAAGTTAGAAACAGATTATGTAATAGAAAATCTATTATTTTATTTGTCAAAAGCAGGAATTGTTTTCTTTTCAAAAGGCCTTTTTAACCTTTATTTATAATTACAAATACTTATTTACATTATGCAATTTATATAACTAATATCACTGATATAACTGATGCATCATATCCTACTGATATTTTCTAAAATACCCTTCTGACCAATCACTGCTATCTGTAACATTTATCATATGCATCATATATAAGTGATCAGTCATATGTAACAAATACGACAGATACGATTGACTCCCTTTTTCAAATTTAACAATGGATCCCAACCAGTCAGAGTCCATTCAGATCATTCATGATTATGTATATGCATTGTTATATGTTAGGTGAAACTCAATGAAAAATAAAAATAAAAATACTAATGGAATGAAGGCTTGTCTATAAAAGTTAAAAAGATATTAGTTAGAAATGATAAAATGGCTTATGTGAATGAAAAAATGTGTAAAAGTCATAGAGAGATGTTAATGTCAAAAAAGAAAGTTGTTAATGTAGTTTGATTAATTAGTACAATTTCTGCCTTACAAATAAAAAATTAAAACTCTTTAAAATAAAAAGATCAAAATAAAAAAAAAACTAAGAATACTTTTTTTAAAACCCTTTACTTAATCTCTCTCGAAATGCATCTCAACTATTGCCCTATCTACCTTCCTATCTAATTGATAACTGATAATTTATAACATTATAATGTGACATACACAGTAAAAGTAATATAATTAATATATTTAAGATTATTTCATACTGTCATCAATTAAATAAATAGTAAATTATACTAGAAAACGGAAACCGTTATAAGTCTGGAGTGATATCACATGAGATTTGTTGTGTTACACGAATATGCAAGTGGAGACATACGGAAATTCAAAGTTACTTTTTTGATATTTTTATTATTAATGCATCAATAATGATATTTTAGTGTATCAAAAACGTAACTTTTGTATCACTTTGCATAGAAATCAAGCGTCCTCCGCTACGCTCCGAACAATAAAGAAGTTTATCATTTCATTAATTATAAATAAAATCATCAATTGAACTGGAATAGCATGATAATCTTTCTGATACGTTGACGTAAACATAGTGCAATACACATTAATGCAATACGCATTAACATAGTACAATACACGTTACCGTAAATGCAATACAAATAGAAACGCCAAATACTATGAATGCGCAAAAAGTGGCATGATCAAACATTGGTTATATTGGTCACGCTAGATAATCGAACTCTCAAAATTTTCTATAACACCAATTATTAAATGCAAATATGTTGCCACAAAAAGTTAAGCAATTAAAATTTTGTCCCCATTTTAGTCCAGAAACTATCCGTGTTTACATATTTCGAAATCATAGCCAACTGTGGCAACCAACTGAATGCAAGAGGTTGTAGACGACCACCCTGGAAGATTGTTTCACTTACGGCAAACTCCCTGGTATAACATGTACTAGCGGTATTGTAAATAATTTTTTTACACCTGATCAGAACTTATCCAGTTAAAGGAATCAAAGTCATTTTTTAAAGGGATGAGATAGTAATTTAGTAAAGCCAAAAATTAATAAATATGAATAAAACCCCACATAATTTAAAAAATAGAAACACGAATTGTTTTACGGCATTGAAGTTAAAAACTTGTATAATTTGTCTAAAAAAAAAAATTCCATCCAAATTAGCAATTAAAAGCGAAAGTCTGAACCTTGTATAACGTTATAAAGCATATGAAATATTGTTTATTTAATTGAAAAAAAGCTTTGCATCAATAAGAAAACTTTATACAGTCTCAACTCTTTCTATAGTGAATCGACGGTGAAAAAAAAAGGTTGTTATAAAAAATTGCTATGTTTATCAAGAACCCATGACCGAACTATCGTGAAATTTAAATATTTAAATTCATTGCATACAGAGTCGACTGGACATATAATAGATATATATCTGTTTTTTTTTAATCGCCAAAAATCATTGCATTAATCGAAATTGCTTAATTTTTAAAGTGACCATCCGGACGATCATCCGGGCGATTATCCGAACCCAACCTGGTACACATTTTCTGGATGCATAGCAGTCAGACATTGACTTCATTAATAGGTTTTTAGGCTCAGTCACTGAAATTCAAACCAATATTCAGATTGCAAGTACTATCAACTTCTTTTATAAAGAGTCATTTTCTTATACCAGGAATGGATTGCAATGAAGTATATGGTTTCCCGTGACTAAAATGGTGTCTGTGTAGATTTCTCCCGTTCCTGGTTTCGCGCGACAATGTTGCGCAACTACTTATTAATAACAAATTTATCTTCGCGTATTTCGCGTATCGAAAGAACTTTCAATTGATTTGATTGGTCAATAATCACGTTTGGATCTACATCGATAACCCGTGATTTTCGGTTGTATCACTTGCAGATCTGTTTGATAATCTATAAACAAATAAACAAATAAACAAACTCATTTTCTGTGTTAGAGCTTAGGCCATGCAAAAAAATTTTCAAGTATACTTATTATCCGGGTGAGTTTTTTTAAAAAATCTATAAAAACTTTTATGTTTTTTACAGTATATATATAATTTTTTGAAATTAAAATTAAAAGCCGGGTTGCCGGGTCACTTTAAATTTTTATGTTATGAGAACCAATTTATTAAGTTTGTATGGCCTTATGCGCTGGAATTTTTTGAAATCGATAATATCAAAAAAAAAAAAGACAACACCGATAGAATATTTCTGCTGGAAATATTCGAAAACTAAAAAACTATACAACATTACTCTTGACACTGAAAAAACCGATTACTAAATTAATTGACCATCATGAAAAGGTATTATGCATTTAATTTTTATTTATTTGCTTTAGCCTTTTCATTTCTTCTTGTGCACTGGATTTTTCTGTCCATTTAATATATTTTAGAAAGAACGTTATAACAATAGTGCACGGATAGTATACATGCGATCACCACTAATATGGGATGGTATCAACCATGTGTGAGCCTAATTGTATCTGTTCCTTGTACTAGGATGAATTATTAACGGCATCACGTGTTCTTCTCGATACCAGATGGAGTCCTATGAGTTACCAAGTTCATTTTTCATTCGTTATAACGATTCTGTGCGCTCAAATTAATAATAAGTTGCATAACAATAGTACACGGATAGAATACATGCGATCACCACTAATATGGGATGGTATCAACCATGTGTGAGCCTAATTGTATCTGTTCGTTGTACTAGGATGAATTATTAACGGCATCACGTGTTCTTCTCGATACCAGATGAGGTCCTATGAGTTGCCAAGTTCATTTTTCGTTCGTTATAACGCAAATTATTAAGTTGTATAACAATAGTACATGGACTGAATACATGCGATCACCGCTAATATGGTATGGTATGACCATGTGTGAGCCTAATTGTATCTGTTCCTTGTACTAGAATGAATTATTGACGGCATCACGTGTTCTTCTCGATACCAGACGGAGTCCTATGAGTTGCCAAGTCCATTTTTCATTCGTTATAACAACATTGTGCGCTAAATTAGTAAGTTGTATAACAATAGTACACTGATAGAATACATGCGATCACCACTGATATGGGATGGTATCAACCATGTGTGAGCCTAATTGTATCTGTTCATTGTACTAGGATGAACTATTAACGGCATCACGTGTTCTTCTCGATACCAGACGAGTTCTATGAGTTGCTAGTTCATTTTTCATTCGTTATAACAACTTTGTGCACTCATGACATAATACATAATGGCATTGATAGTATTCGGATAGGATACATACGGTCACTAATAATATTTTCTTGTTATCTGGCAGGTGCATACTGATGGAATGTTTTTCATATTATGCCGCAGATTTTACCGACACAGCCAGCATTATCATTAACATCAATGTTAGTGTTAGAATATGTAGAACTAGGAAATTATATCACCTGCTACTGTGTGACAAGGGTAAAACATTTGAACGAAGTCATTCTACTAGAGCGTTAGATTCGATTTGGTCGCGAACAATTTAAATTTTTTTTTACTTTAGTGCTTTATTTAGCAACTACTACAACTGACAACTACAACCTACTTTTTATTATTAGGGCGTTGGATATTACATTTGTTTCGCTTTTATACATTTTACACCTTATTAATTAATTATCCTATTTTAGGATGCTACCAGCTTTTCTTTTCACTTTTTTCTATTACAGCTTGTTATCGGGTAGGTTTCCCTTTTAGTTGTTTATTTTGGATGTCATCACATTACTGACAGTATATTTCCCTAGTGAATATATTTTCTTCCCGATTTTGTCGTATTCACTTTGTCATGCGGTTGCTGGGAAATGCTTATCCAATTTGGGTCGATCACGATTTCATGCAGCTGTGACTGTTGTCACGGGGAAATGGAGCGAATTCAAGGATGGCGTCAATGCGACGAATTGTCGCTTCACAATTGTCGACGTCGCGTAACGTTACTCGAAAGCAAAATGAGGCGGTACGATTTGGCAATGGCTAAGGCGGCTTTCGAGCAAGTTACCGGGTAAGTATGGGGACTTTTCAAAGAACGTTTTTTTTGGTATTACACTCATTGCACTTTTTATAATTTATAACTGTTCTGATTTATTATTATTTCCTTTAATTTACAGGAGTAAAAGGACCGGGGGTCATGGGGGTCCTATCCCACTTAACAACAAAACGGAGAGCTTTTATAACGAATTATCAGGGAAGTATGCTTGAGAACATTCCCCCTTTCTTGCATTAATATTTCCTTTTCTGTTAATTGTACAATCTCACCTTTTGACTCATGATTCCGTCTTTTAGTTACCTTCTCTTTTTCGTAGGTCCCGCTGATAGAGTTACAGCCGCATCTCCCTAAACGTCTTTGCGGTTTGAAGGCTCTGTTGTAAGTCCGTGAAAGTAAGTATCACACCTTTTCCTTGTTGCGCGTCGTGGTGGTTCTACTAAGTCTTTCTTCCTTTTTAGGTTTAGCGATAATTGTCGCATGTGGGGCCCAGGCTTACAATCGTGGGTGCCTTGTTCCGAATCTTGGGGCTTCTCTTGCATACAATGGGGAGAAATCGGGTTACACGATCGCTGGTTTTGGGTCACGATCCAGATTACGATTCCGGTCACGTTTTCGGTCACGTTTTCGATGATCGTTACTCAACGTCTCTAACCGGATTTCCCTCTAACACTGTATAAGATTTTAAAATTGCGGTAATAATGTAAAAAAATTTCAATCAGTGTTTACATAGTACGTACGTATGTAATGACAATGTTATTTTCGTTCTGTGGATTAATTAATTTCAATCAATGATCCAAGACTGTATTCAGTTTTTATTTTGAATTCGATGTTTAAAGGTAGAATTGTAAAAAACTATAAGCCCAAATACTGATTACATAATTATCAATCTTCAGATGATAACGAATATTTCATTTTTTCTGGAATTCAATATCTCATTTGCAAAATTTGTTGAATGCAAAAAAAGATCAACCGTAGAACAGGAAATTCAGCAAACTAAAGAAGTTCACCTTTAGGTCGAAAAGCTCATGGGATATTGATTATGTTTTCGAAGAATATGAGAAATTTGGAGTAAGTAAATTACGACCAGAGATGCGATCCGAATATTCGTTAGTTTTAATGTTTCTTATTTACAGCTGTTATCATAAATTCTGGGACACCTGGCAAAAATTAGCCAAATAATTTTTCGGCCGATCCGGTTAAGTAATTAATTTCGGCAATATTCGGTATAACGATAATATAGACCAGGGTAAAATCGTCACCCAAAAAAGTTCTCGAACATTACATGACTAATATATCAAGCACTAAAAATTTATGTAACAAAAAAATACAAACAAAAATTCAGACTAACAAAATAATATCGATAAGCAATAAATTAATCATTTT